AATTTCTCTTCTGTTCTGTTCTGTTCTATTCTTTCTGTTCTTTCTATCTTTCTATTCTGTTCTGTTCTGTTCTGCTCTATTCTGTTTTCTGTTCTGTTCTGTTCTGTTCTGTTCTATTCTGTTCTTTCTGCTCTATTCTGTTCTGTTTCTTTCTGTTCTTTCTATTCTGTTCATTCTGCTCTATTCTGTTCTGTCTATTCTGTTATTTCTGTTCTTCTGTTCTGTTCGTTCTTTCTGTTCTTTCTTTCTGTTCTATCTGCTCTATTCTGTTCTGTTCTGCTCTATTTTTCTGTTCTTTCTGTTCTATTCTTCTATTCTATTCTATTCTGTTCTTGTTCTGTTCTGTTCTGTTCTTCTATTCTGTTCTGTTCTGTTCTGTTCTATTCTGTTTTATTCTGTTCTGTTCTATTCTGTTCTGTTTTTTTCTGTTCTGTTCTATTCTTTCTGTTTTATTCTGTTCTATTCTGTTCTTCTATTCTGTTCTATCTGTTTCTGCTCTATTCTGTTCTGTTCTATTCTGTTCTGTTTCTATTCTGTTCTGTTCTTCTTTCTATTCTGTTTTCTATTCTGTTCTTTCGTTCTTTTTTGTTCTGTTCTGTCTATCTGTCTGTTCTGTTCTGTTCTAATCTTTTTTTCTATTCTGTTGTTCTATCTATTCTGTTCTGTTCTATTCTGTTTTTCTGTTCTGTTCTGTTTTTTTATTTTTCTATCTGTCTTTCTGTTCTGTTCTTTCTGTTCTGTTCTTGTCTATTCTTTTCTATTCTATTTTCTTTCTATCTGTTCTTTCTATTCTAATCTGTTCTCGTTTCTTTCTAATCTTTTCTTTCTGTCTATCTTTCTGTTTATTCTATTCTGTTCTATTCTATTCTTTTCTTTTTGTTCTGTTCTTCTTTTTAGTTCTGTTTTTCTGTTCTATTCTGTTCTTTTTTCTGTTCTGTTCTATTCTGTTCTGTTTTATTCTGTTCTATTCTGTTCTGTTCTTTTGTTCTGTTCTTGCTTCTATTTCTGTTCTGTTCTATTCTGTTCTGTTCTATTATGTTTCTTCTAATCTGTTTTCTATTCTGTTCTAATCTGTTCTTTCTGCTCTATTCTGTTCTGTTCTGTTTCTATTCTGTTTCTGTTCTATCTTTTTTTTCTATTCTGTTCTGTTCTAATCTATTCTTTCTGTTCTATTCTGTTTTATTCTTTCGGTTTCTTCTTTTTTTATGTTCTATTCTGCTCTGTTCTGTTCTGCTCTTTCTGTTTCTATTTGTTCTATTCTGTTTCTTTTTTCTGTTCAATCTGTCTGTTCTTTCTAATCTTTTATGTTCTGTTCTAATCTGTTCTGTTTATTCTGTTCTGTTCTATTCGTTCTGTTCTAATTGTTCTTTCTAATCTATTCTATTCTGTTCTGTTCTGTTCTATCTGTTCTGTTTATCTATCTTTTCTTTCTATTCTGTCTTCTGTTCTGTTCTATTCTGTTTCTGTTCTGCTCTATTCTGTTTCTTATTCTGTTCTTTCTTCTTTCTATCTGTTCTGTTCTTTCTTCTGCTCTTCTTCTATCTATTTGTTCTTTCTATTATATTCTTTATTGTCTTTATTCTTTTTTCTATTCTATTCTGTTCATTCTGTTCTTTCTTCTTTCTTTCAAATTCTGTCTATTATTTTCTATTGTTCTATTCTGTTTTCTCTTCTTATTCGTTCTAACTTTCTTTCTTTTTCTTCTGTTCATTCTGTTCTGTCTAATCTGTTTCTATTCTATTCTTTTCTATTCTGTTCTTTCTATTTGTTCTGTTCTAATCTGTTCTGTTCTCCTAATCTTTCTGTTCTATCTTTGTTCTATTCTGTTCTGTTCTTTCTATTCTGCTCTATTCTGTTCTTTTTGTTCTATCTATTCTTTCTGTTCTTTCTATTCTGTTCTATTTTCTGTTCTGTTCTTTCTGCCTTTCTGTTCTGTTTATTATTCTGTTCTATTCTGTTCTGTTTTCCTATTCTTTCTCTCTATTCGTTTCTATTCTTCTTCTTTTTCTGTTTCTGTTCTATTCTGTTCTGTTCTAATCTATTCTGTTCTATTCTGTTCTATTCTGTTCTATTCTGCTCTATTCTGATCTGCTCTATTCTGTTCTGTTCTATTCTGTTCTATTAAGTTCTGTTCTATTCTGTTCTGTTCTGTTCTATTCTATTATGTTCCATTCTGTTCTGTTCTATTATGTTCTGTTCTAATCTGTTCTGTTCTGCTCTAATCTATTCTGTTCTAATCTGTTCTGTTCTATTCTGTTCTGTTCTGTTCTATTCTGCTCTATTCTGTTCTGTTCTAATCTATTCTGTTCTGTTCTATTCTATTCTGTTCTATTGTGTTCTGTTCTATTCTGTTCTGCTCTACTGTTCTGTTCTATTAAGTTCTATTCTGTTCTGTTCTGTTCTGCTCTATTCTGTTCTGCTCTATTCTGTTCTGCTCTATTCTGTTCTATTCTATTCTGTTCTGTTCTAATCTGTTCTATTCTATTCTGTTCTATTCTGTTCTGTTCTGTTCTATTATGTTCTGTTCTAATCTGTTCTGTTCTGTTATATTCTGTTCTGTTCTATTCTGTTCTGTTCTGTTCTGTTCTTTCTTTTCATTGTTCTGTTGTGTTCTATTAGTTTTTTATTCGTTCTTTCTTTCTGTTCTTCTTTCTGTTCTATTCTATTCTGTTCTATTCTGTTTCTTTCTGTTTCTTTCTGTTCTGTTCTATTCTGTTCTTTCTGTTCTGTATGTTCTGTTCTATTCTTTCTGTTCTGTTTCTCTTCTCTATCTATTTCTGTTCTATTCTTTCTGTTCTATTCTATCTGTTCTTATTTGTTCTGTTCTTTCGTTTCAATCTTTTCTGTTCTATTCTGTTCTGTTCTATTCTGTTCTTTCTAATCTGTTCTATTTTCTCTATTCTGTTCTGTTCTAATCTATTCTTTCTGTTCTAATCTATTCTGTGTCTTCTCTGTTTTCTGTTCTGTCTTGTCTGTTCTGTTCTGTTTATTATGTTTTCTATTTCTGTTCTATTCTGTTCTATTCTATTCTGTTCTAATCTTTTGTTCTGTATGTTCTTTCTATTCTGTTCTTTCTGTATGTTTCTGTTCTATCTGTTCTGTTCTATCTATTTCTTTTCTGTTCTAATCTGTTCTTGTTCTGTTCTAATCTGTTCGTTCGTCTAATCTATTTCTGTTCTATTCTATTCTGTTTTATTCTGTTCTATTCTGCTCTATTCTGCTCTGTTCTGTTCCATTCTGTTTTATTCTGCTCTGTTCTATTCTATTCTGCTCTGTTCTATTCTGCTCTGTTCTATTCTGTTCTATTCTATTCTGTTCTATTCTATTCTGTTCTATTCTGTTCTATTCTGTTCTATTCTGCTCTGTTCTATTCTGTTTTATTCTGTTCTATTCTGCTCTGTTCTGTTCTATTCTATTCTGCTCTGTTCTATTCTGTTTTATTCTGTTCTATTCTGCTCTGTTCTGTTCTATTCTGTTTTATTATGCTCTGTTCTGTTCTATTCTGTTTTATTCTGTTTTATTCTGCTCTGTTCTGTTCTGTTTTATTCTGCTCTGTTCTGTTCTGTTTTATTCTGCTCTGTTCTGTTCTATTCTATTCTGCTCTGTTCTGTTCTGTTCTGTTCTATTCTGCTCTGTTCTGTTCTGTTCTGTTCTATTCTGCTCTGTTCTATTCTGCTCTGTTCTGTTCTATTCTGCTCTGTTCTGTTCTGTTCGTTCTATTCTGCTCTGTTTTGTTCTGTTCTATTCTTCTCTGTTCTGTTCTGTTCTGTTCTATTCTGCTCTGTTCTATTCTGTTTTATTCTGTTCTATTCTGCTCTGTTCTGCTTTGAAGGTTTTTATCTAATGGACACTGCACTACTGAGAAGAGCACGGTTATAATGTACTAGAACTCTGAACATATTCCTTACAGGCTACAATAGGAATGGATGACTTGTGTGATGAACTGTACTCTGTATGTACATACATATGTACAGAGATGGAACCACAAACTCAGAACTTCAGGTTCCCAGGGAAACAGTGATTGTTGCTGAGAGGAATATCCTGCTTAAATAAAGCTGAACTAACTGAACTTCCCCCACCACATAGTATGTTGTGTTGGGGGAAAGGAAGAAAATGTAGAGCTCCTGACTGACATCATCCAACAACACCTCTAGCCTTTAGATGGTATCGCCATCAAAGCAGATGACGTGAAACCGAGGAGGTGAGGGAAATCACTTGTGCTGCTATTGTAACGCTGACGGTTAAGAAGCTGAGTAGCTGATCCCCGTGGCCCTGGCCATGAAGGCTTAATGTTAGCCTGGGCTTCATCCGTCAAATTAACGCTAGGATCAGGCAGATATTAGCCACAAAGCCCTCTGAAACCGCAGCTCTTCCTGCTGTGAAAGCACTGGGATCCTCCCTCACAGGGCCAGCTTTATGTTCAGCAAAGGCTAACATTATGCTAACGTTATGAAATGGCCAGGGGTGAAGGCAGAATGGGTAGCTGGATTAGAGCCTAATTTAATTTGACCTTTTCATAACATCAGCCGCTAAGTACGGAGGAGGGGAGGTACTGTAAAGTGCACTCTCGAATGATGAGGTCATGCATCTAGGGATAGTTTCACTCTCTCTCTGTCTTTTTTTCTCATTTGGAGAGCTGCCACCGACATCCCCATCAATGGCAGCACACCTCACCATATTACACTGAAACCCGGTGCTGCGAGAGCTTTCCTGCTCGGCTTGCAGGTGTTTGGATATTGTATTGTGCTCTGTGTGATGATGTGAGGTGTGATGTTGTGAGGTGTGATGTTGTGGTGTAGTTGTACGGTGCGGTTGGGTTTGATTGATGTTCTTACGGTAATAAACATGAACACATCCCAAAACTTTCCAATACTGAATTGAGCAAAAAGGTAAAATAAATAAAATACCTTCACACACTGGTATACCCTTTTCACACTACAGAGCTGTGATGAACTGGCCTGGTTACATATTCATCATAAAAGGATTTAACTGGGTGTTGGTCAGACTATGGACACACCTGCTGGGCTGGGGCCTCTGGAGCCTCCTTCCTGGGGCTGCGTAGGGCGGTTGCGGTTCTTGTTGCGCTTGTTGGTGGAGCGGGCGGTGCGGATGTGCACCTCGCTGACTTTAAAGAAGGCCACCATGAAGGGTTGCTTCTCCAGCCCTCCGTCACGCCCCACTAGCCCCGCCTCCTTGGAGCTGATGCTCCGCCCTGTTCCACAGAAGAGAGGAGCCGTCAATCACTTGGACATACTGAATGTGCTACAGTTTACTAAACATAGCCTAGAAGGGAGAGTATCATACACCCTACTGATATATTCTTGTGAAACATTTGTCCTTTGATGGATGTTTAGTGTCCATTAAGTGTCAAATAGTTGACTTGCAAACATATCAACCTTTCCATTTCAGCATTGTGACAAGCCTAAAAAAGCCCCACTGTTCAGTATCCACTATTGTTTTCATTTCAAGATGAAAATTCTAAAGTTATTTAGCATGTTTCTAACGCTAGCTATTAGCATGTTTCCAAAGTTAGCCGTTAGCAACATATTTCTAATGTTAGCCGTTAGCATGGTGCTCACCGCTGCTGGTCTCCACTCTGATCTGGAGGCCCAGGTTGTGGTGAGGACTCATCACCCACAGGTTACTGGTGGCCAGGATGTCAAACTCCAGCCAGCCCTCCTCGGCTGCCCACAGCCTGCGAGACTCCAGCAAGAACAGGTCCGCCTCCCTTGGGGCACAGTCACAACAAGCAGCCATGACTGAGGGCCAACAGCTTTCCCATCTTTACAGAAGTATACAAAGTGTACATTAATTGCTGGTACTCTACCATAACAGATACTGTAGTATATGTCAGTACGACGTTCATGTTTTCTTACAGCCTACATTCAGGGATTTTGGCACTTTACACTATGAAGATGATCCCTGTCTAATCCTTATACTGTCTGAATCTACACTGAGTATACAAAACATTAAGAACACCTGCTCTTTCCATGACATAGACTGACCAGGTGAATCCAGGTGAAAGCTTTGATCCCTTATTGATGTCACTGTTAAATC